CTATTTTTATCTTTTGTAGCTAAATGTGTTTCCTGGAGACAGCAAAAGGTTGGGTTTTGTTTCTTAATCCAGGCTGCAACTCTGTGTCTTTTTATTGAAGAATTTAGTCCATTTACATTTAGAGTTAATATTGATATGTTAATATCTGTATTTGCCATTGTGTTTGTCTTTCCTTTGATTTTATTTATTTATTCTTTTAATAACTTTTTTTTTTTTTTTTTGGCCTTCTTTCATTGTTATTCGTCCCTCTGAGGTTCTGGCTTTAGGACTCCTTGTAGTATTTTTTGGAGTGGGGGTTTAGTTGCAATGAAATTCCGGAGTTTCTGTTTGTCTGGGAAAGTCCATATTCTTTCTTCAAAGAGGAAGGAGAGCTTTGCGGGATAGAGTATTCTTGGTTGGCATCTGCTTTCTTGGAGTCTGTTGACTATGTCCCTCCACTCTCTCCTTGCCCGTAGTGTTTCTTCGGAGAAGTCTGATGTCAGCCTGATTGGCTTTCCTTTGAATGTTATCTGTTTCTTCCCTCTTGCCAGCTTCATTATTTTTTCCTTGTCCTGGATTCTTGGGAGCTTTACTATTATGTGTCTTGCTGTATTTTTCCTTTCGTCGTGGAAGTTTGGTGTTCTTCTTGCTTCTTGTATATCAATTTTCAGCTCCTCCTTCACATTTGGGAAGTTCTCTTCAATTATCTCTTTGAATATTTTCTCTGTTCCTACTTCTCTCTCCTCTCCTTCTGGTATTCCTATAACTCTTATATTTCCTTTCCTCATGGAGTCAGATAGTTCCCGAAGTCTTTCTTCATTCTTTTTCCTTCGTACTTCTCTTTCCTTTTCTGTTTTGGTTCTTTTTATTTCTGTGTCTTCAAGAGTACTTATTCGTTGTTCCATTTCATCAATTCTGCTTTCATTGCTTTTCCCAGAATTCTTTAGTTCTTCCATTAATTCTTTGATCTCCTGCATTTCTTTTACTTCCCTCTTTAGGGACTCAATTTCATTCTTCTGATCGTTGATTATTTTTCCCTTATCATTGTTTTCCTTTATGACTTCTGTCAGTTTTTTAATCACAGCAATTTTAAATTCTCTTTCTGGAAGGCTCAGAAGTTCTTCCAAGTTACTGTCGTTGCCATCTGGGGGCTGGTTTTCTTTTTGTGGTGTGCTTTTTCTCTGGAGAGTTGCTAGGTTGCGTGTGGTTCTTCTCCTCCCTACAGTCTGTTTTCTAATTTGCCGTATGCGTTGGGACACTGTGTAGTTGGGACTGGCCGGCATCTTGGGTGGGCTTCTCTGCTCCCCCCTGGTTCGGGGCGGCCGGGGCTGTGTGCTGGTGCTGGTCTCCTCCTGGGCGGGGCTCTCTTCAATGGCGCCCGGAGCTCACCTCCGCGGCGGATCCTGCGGGGGTTCTCCACAGCTCCCGTTCACAGGGTGTGGTGGCTGCAATAGTTCCTTTCCACTCACAGTCCCGCTTGCTGCGTCCTTTGTTCTTGTTGGCAGTTTTAGTTTGTTGTTTTTCTCCTCTCTGCCGGGCGGAGAGTGCCGCCTCTGTGGGCGGGGGAGGGGAGCAGGGTTCTGCGCTTCCCTCCCTTCTGGTCCTCTTTTATGGCAACTTTCTTCTTCGGGCAGTTTGCTGGCGTCGTCCGTTTGACGCCGTTTATCTTCCGTGTCCCGGTTCTCACTGGGACCTGCCGCTTTTCCTCCCTATTAACTTTTTTTAATGGGAGATCTTACTCGCAGCGTCTCCTCGCCGCCATGTTGCTCCGCCCCCCCTAAAAGCATTGATTTTTAAAATCAATAAATATATGCTGAATGAATGAATGAAAGTCTACTATAAAATACTTTAAATGTATACTACAACTCACCCTGAAGTATTTTATGTATACTTTATATACTTCGATGTGACAGGGGCAAACAGCATTACAAATGAGAATAATTAGAAAGGCATATGCTAATAACATTATTTAGAAGCGTACTCTCTTCCCTTTCTTCATTTTAAATAATATAAAACTGGGGAAAAAACTCTCATCTTTGTATGCACTTACATTGTTTTTAAAGCTTCCATCTTTGAGGCAAACTTTTATTATTGGACTCCACATGTCTATCTCTCTATTTTGTTTTTGCTTCTACTGCCTCTCCTGCCTCATCCTACTAAGCAACTGTTAAATTCTGAGAAAGAAGATGATCAGGTAGGAAGAACAAGGAGAAAGGTTGGGTCTTGTGGCCATGATTCAAGAATGTCTCAAAAGCTGTGATGGATGCAAGACCCCCAAACCAATATGAAACCAGGTTTTGCAAAAAAAAAAAAAAAAAAAAAAAAAAAAGAGTCCTCTTTCGTCTCTGAACTACCTGACTACCTATACCCTCGGGCACTACAGCAGTGAAAATGCAGGCAAGACATACTATTAGAGAATTCTGGGTTGTTCATGAATAAGTAATTCCTAACCATTTAATGGCTGATGAAAGCAAATTACCCCCAAAGAGCCTCACTTTAATGAGTAGAGACCCCAGACTCCCATGACTGGTATGGCCTACTCCCAAGTCACAGGATTGGAAACTCCAAAGCACTGAACCCCACAAGTGGGACCTTGCTTGCCCCATCAGCCACTGCCCAGACACCCTCTGCAATCCTTGGTAAGTTGCCACAGCTCATTTATGAAACTATCTTTCCACATATAATTGAAGTTAAACACTACAGTCTTACTTTTTAAATTGTAATTTTAAAGCATTTTAATATTAAGAAGCACCTTTTGTATTTTTACCCAGCTATCTTCATTTCCTCTAAAATAGCATTCACTCTTCAGGACTAAATTTTTCACACCTCTACGTCCTTCACTCTGCTCCAATAATCTAAGAAGAAAATGCCTTCTGTTTCCATGACAATTTTTTTTTAATGTGTCCCATTAGCCTATTTAAATGACCTGCAATGGCAACAAGGGGAAATTTTATTAAATTGAGAGCAGGATATTCTGCTATTACCTTCTTTCTTTTACAAAATGCCAGGTGTACTATTACAATGACTTCTTAGCACCCACACTGTGAAAGGCTCCCCTATAAACTGTTCACTCATCTCATGATGTTTTAAAATTACAAGATTTGGCAGATGAAATCCATGGCCTCATAGCTTCGCCTCTGGTATCTGGTTGGCTAGATTTTTTTGAAGGAGGTAGGTTCCTCTACCTCTAGTCAATTTTACTCAAGAAGGCCATCATTTTAATAGATACACATGAAATAATACAAACATTTTAAAAGAGTGGTATCTTTGAGTGTCTTTCTCAAGTGAAGCTTCTGACCTTCATATTTCATTCTTTTCTGACCCTTGAATAAACATTGCCTTTCTGTGTCCCTTTCCTTCCTCTTTCTTCATCATATAACAGCTCTATTATATCAATAGCTGAATCAACCTGCTAGATACATATTAGGAACTAAGCCACTCTAATCAGAATGTTTGTGTTCACCCAAATTCATATGTTGAAATACTATTGAATACATGATAGGACATTTGGAAGGTGATTAGGTCATGAGAACTAAAGAGATTAATGCCCTTATGAAAGAGCTCCAGAGAGCTCTCTAGGTCCTACTGTCAGGTTACCAGAACTATGAAAAATGTTGTTCACAGAAAACCAAATTTGTGCTGTTTTTGTTATAGTAACCTGAACAGATTAAGACATAGGCCTTAGATCCTATTACAGATATGTGAAAATGAGAACTCTCAGAGACGTGTCAAGCACTATCAAAGTGAGGTTTCATGGGTCAAATACGACTTTGACTCCTCCAGTGTGATTCTAAGATTAATTATGCTATTTTTAAATACAGAGCCAGGCTAAGCCTGATGAGGAAAGTGGTTAGATGACTGTTCATTCTAATGCTATTGAAACAAATCCTTTGTAGTAAAGAAGAAATGTTACGCCATATGTAATACAAGAAGAACAAGAATGAGAACATTTGAATGTAAAGAAAGGTAAAATGGAGTTGGGTCCTTCCAGCATAATCATGTGTAGGGTGAGCTGTACATATGTTTGTGTAAGGGATAATAATTTTCAAGTGCCTCCACTTGAAAAATCTTAACTCTAATAGGGGAGGCAATCTACTAAGATTATCGGAGACACAGCTATATCGTTTGGCACAAACTTCAGTTTTTACATTGTCTTGTATTGCTGATGAAGTATCAGAGATTTAGCCCCCTAGGGAAATCAAATTAGAACACAAGACACCCTGCAGCAAGGGAACTGAAGTGCGGAAAGGTTAAGAGATTAGGCATCAAGATCACAAATGGACAATGCGTGCAGGAGAAAAGGGAGGGAAGGGAGACAAGTAGGAGGAAAATGGAGGAACAGTCTGCACTCCTCTTTTAAAAAATCAGAAGCGGGGCCTCCCCTGGTGGCCCAGCGGTTGAGCGCTGGGCTGCAAAGCTGCCTGCAGCCTCTGCAGTGCTGGTTCGATCCCCGCCTGCCTGGCGAGGGTCGCACATGGTGCGCAGACCTCTCCTGCCACCCGCTGCTCCCCTCAGCAGTGTACTTCGGTCCTTCTGCCTGTTCTGTTCCCCGCTCTGGCTCTGGTGAATTCTCTTGCCCTCCTGTGCTTCTGACTGTACCCAGTGCTTGTATAAATAAATAAATAAATATTTAAAAAAAAAAAGAATATTTTTTAAAAAATTTTAAAAAAATTAAAAAAAATCAAAAGCTTCCTACTTGGTGAACAGAATGCAAAAGGACATCCCATGCTTAGAGGCAGGTATAAGAAAGAAAAGATAATAGCCCTATATAAATCTGCAATATCAGAGACAGCAAGACCACCAATCTATACATAATTCTAATTAACAGCACTAAATACAAAAAGAATCTTCGCTGACTGAATAAGATTGTTAAGCCAATTTAATTTACATGTTTTAATAAAACAAATCCTGGCGAGAACAACACTGTCAATCATTGAAATTCATGAATTAGAAATGTGAGAGTAATTTTTAAAACTACAAATCTTTAAAACTTAAGATTCCTTAAACAAAGTCCACTTTACCTTAGAACTTTTCTTTGATGTGGGAATCCAACGAAGCTTAAGGTTTTTCTGTTGAAATCTAAGGGGAAAGAAATAAAGTAACATTGAAATAGTCATGCAACAAATCAAAAAAAAAAAAAAAAACTTCAAGGCAAAAAAAATTCTTCAAACACTCCCTTTGAACCTAAAATTTAAGAAAAAGGAAACTATCAATCAGATAAGAGATATGACTGCAAAACTGAAACCTAAAAATCAAATTCCACGTATACATTTTATATGAGCAAGTTCTCCTTACCTTCTCCTGAAAAGCAGCCAACACATTTTGTGGATAAATTTTTTTTTTGACAGTTCAGAGGTATCATATAACCCCATATGACTACAAGAACAACTTAACACACATAAATACTGAATAACATAGCTATACACTCAGGGGGAAAAAAAGGAGAGAAAAATTAAACACTTTGGTCACAGTTTAGCTAAGCAGAGATACTGAAAGTCATCACTGCCTGATATATTGGAGATGCCTTTCAATGTTGAGGTAGGGATGGGAGGCAGACAGGAGCTGATGAAGAGCAGGGGATATTTTAGCTGTGCTTGTACTGCCTTTATTTACATCTAAACAATTAACAACACATCAAATTAACCATGAATTTATTTACTTTTGAAGCCAAGATACACATTATGTAGAGACAGCTGGCAACAGTTCCATATAGCAAAAACACAACTGAGTAGATGGGAAAATAAAAAACAGGTACAGACAAAATTTATAACCAGTCTAATGGCAACTAATCTGTTATCCAGATTTTGACAGAGCAACCATTTGTCCACCAAAAAAGTCACAAGTAGAGCACTAACAGAAATTTCTCCTAAGGAAATGCCTTTTACTATTTAATATTTGGGGGCAGAAATCCGAGGAAAAAGAGGTACAAAATTGCCAGATGCTGATGTGGCATTATCTCTCAGAATATATCCTGAATCCCTGAATGTGAAAATACTGACCAGCTAGAGAACAAATAAATTGAAAGGTCAAATTGCTAATTAAATATGTAGGCTTTTCTCCTAACTATACAAATTCCTTGTTATACATTTGAAAAAAGGAGAATTCAAAAAATGATAAAATTTGTAAGTGCCTTAATCTGAGGCTGAAATTGTTCAAATCACTTTCCAATAAAGCATTTATGATAGAAAATAATTTTACATATAATCACTGAATTTCAAATGCGATACTCAAAATCACCTCAATATTTCACTTTTGTTCAATCAGTAAAGTGAATCTGTGATACTACTTCAGTAAATTGAAAGCATATATTTTCCTCTGTGCTCAAAAGAAAGCCACTAAAAAGACAAGATTTTATTCCAAAGTGTCTCACATGACGATTTAATAAAAAGACAAACGCCACAGCCTACTGGAAATAATTTAGTAAATATAGCATTTGGTTAAGAAAAATATTTTAGTTAACGTGCAGCACATCCAGAATTTGATCCATACTTTGGATATTGCAAATTTAATTTGCAATTTTTCCTACATAAAGGCTTTGATGGTTTAGCAATATCTATAATTTACAACAGAAAAAGAGATTCATGTTTTTCAGCAATCACAAGATAAACTACTTTCTACTCAATTAGCTGTTTAAAATGTTCTTTGAGAAAACTGTGTAGCTAACTGGTCACAGGAGAATACAAAGTAGAGTTGGAAAATACAAATATTCTCCAAATATAAACACATAAGGACATTTTCTATTTCTCTTGCCTTACCTTGTTTCTCAGAGAATTTGAGAGCTCCCAAATAGCTGGAAATCCCTGGGCTTCTTAACATGGTTGCACATAGAATTCAATAACTGAGCCTAGTTTGCAGCTAGTTCTTAACCAGCAGCCTTCAGTCTATCCATACAAAATTGGGTTGAGATTTTTTTTTATAGTGCAGGGATAGAGCAATCAGGCACTTGTGTCCTTGAGAACACAGTAGACACAAAGCAAGAGACTGCAGGCAGGAACAGCTCAAACCCCTAATCAGATTAGCAGCAGAAATCAGGACTGTGGATACTGAAACAGTCTGTATTCCTGTTATAGGACATTTATGATGTTGCCACTTCAAAGCAACAGCCCAATCACAGCTCATGTTCCAGCTAAGTAGACAATGCTGCAACCTCACCAACAAAAGGGAAGTCAAAAACAACTCCCCTCTTCCCTAAAAATAAACAAACAAAAAGAAAAATGTGCAGAAACTCTCTGCATGGGTAAGAAGGAAGAGTGCCTAACAATTCCCAGGCTGCTCCAAGACTGGTTTTGACTAAATTAAATGAAATATTTTACCTAACAGGAAGCCAAAACTCCATAGTTAACAGTTAAGACTTATGAACAACATATGAGTGAAATTGTGGGAAAAGAAAAGGCAGATATTACTAGAGGTTCAAAAATTTTAATTTGAGGCAGAAGCTATTAAGCATTATCTATTCAACTGCCATCTGCTTAAGTTATTGTCTTTTAAAAAGACTTTAGTTTTTAGAGCACGTTTAGGTTTTCACAAAACTTAGTGGAAGGTATAGGAATTTCTCAAACACCACTTGCCCCCATAAATGCATAACTTCCCCCATTATCAATATTCCCCACCAGAATGGTACGTTTTTATCAAGGATCACCCTACATTGACACATGATAGTCACCAGCCATCGGTTAAGAGTTTGCTAGTGGTGCTACATATCCTCAGACTTAGGACAAAAATATAATGACACATTCATGATTACAGTATCACACAGAGTATTGTGAGCTATTCGTGACTGCAGTCTCTTGCTTTGTGTCTGCTATATTCTCAAGGACACAGTGCCCAAGAAATTCTCTGTGCTCTGCCCATTCATTTCACTTTCAGTCCTCGCAACCACTGATCTTTTTTTTTGTTTGTTTTATGTCTTCATAATTTGCCTTTTCCAAAATGTCATATAGTGGGAATAGTACAGTCTATGGCCTTTCCAGATTAGTTCCTTTTACTTAATAATAAGCATTTAAGGATCTTCCATGTCTTTCCATGGTTTGATAGCTCATTTTTTAGTGCTGAATAATATTCCATTGTCTGGATGGAGCACAGCCTATTGATACATTGACCTGCTGAAGGACATCTTGGTTGCATCCAAGTTTTGGCAATTATAAATAAAGTTGCTATAGATATGCATATGCTATAAGTTTTCAAATCCCTTTGGGTAAATGACAAGGAGAATGATTGCTGCATCATACGGATCAAATGGTCAGAGTATGCTTAGTTTTGTAAGAAACTACCAAGTTGCCTTCCAGAGTAATGGTAAAACTTTGCATTCCCACAAGCAATGTATGAAAGTTCCTATTGCTCCACCTCCTCACCAGCATTTGGCGGTGTCAGTGTTGGATTTTTGCTTTTCTAATAGGGGTACAGTGGTATCTTACTGTTGTTTTAATTTGCATTTCCCTGTTGACACATGATGTGGAACATCTTTCCACGTGCTTACATTGCCTTATATTTCTACCATCTGTATGCTTACATCTTCTTTGGAGAGGTGTTTGTTCATTTTTTTCATTATCAGTGGTTTATTAATTATTGAGCTTTAAAAACTACTTGTGTATTCTGGATAATAGTACTTTATCAAATGTGTTGTTTTGCAAATATTTTCTCTCAGTCTGTGGCTTTTCTAATTGTCTTAATATTATCTTTCACAGAGCAGAAGTTTTTAATTTATCAACTTATCAATTGTTTCTTTTATGAGCATGCCTTTTGTGTTGTATCTAAAAAGTCACCTATGTTCCACTCTAGAAGTTTTACAGTTATTTGTGTTCTGCATTTAGGTTTGTGATCCATTTTTAGTTAGTTTTGTAAAAGGTATAAAAAGAGACTCAAAAAAAAGGTGTAAAAAAAAAGTAAGTCTTTTTTTACATGCAGATGTCCAGTTATGCCAGCACATCTGTTGTAGAAGTTACCTTTGCTACACTGTACTGCTTGTGAGTCTGTGTTCTGTTCTCATAAGCCTCCATTCCCTGTATTTGCCTGTAAGCCTCTCCAATATTGGAGGCAATGGTTTGCCCTGTTCCTTCCTTCTCTTACAGGCCCATGAAGAGTTGTTGACTTTTTCAGTCTGTTCAGCTTTTATTTGCTGTTGGGATAGAATGGTGATTCCCAAGCTCCTTAGATGCAGAAAAATTGGAATACCCCTGTTTATTTTTAACTGTAATATGTAGCTAGTGGGCCTAAGCTATGATAATACAAGCCCAACAAAAATATGCTATAATAAAAGACTGACAATTTTACATTAAAAGGGGCATTAAAGAGAATCCAGGAAAATCATTTCATTCATAACATGAGGAACCAGGGCTAGAAAAGTAACTTGCTCGTGGGTAAATGCTTGGTTAGTGATGGAGCCACTAGTTCCTGGGGAAGCAGAATCAAGATCATCATTCACTTCCCTCCACTCCCCCAGAAGGCCAGGACCCTGAGTTTGTCAGTCTTTGTACAGTGCTGAACACTGTACCTGGTATATAATAGGCTTGTAGTAAATGTTTGCTGAATGATCATATGCAATAATAGAATAATCTTTTTTAAAGGCTAGAGTTCGCACATGCAAATGATTTGCATTGATTTTACATCCTGCTTTCAAATCAGACCAACTTTAATTACTAAACTACAAACAAATTTAACTTGAAAAGGAAGAATTATATGCTAAATCAAGGCACATCAACAGAAGGACCACAATAATTCAACAGAATTACTGCAAAGGTCAGTAATAGCATCTGGTAAATTCTCTATATTGCTGATTACTCCAACTCTTATAAAGCTGGGAAGAAAGAAGACAAACAAGGGAGTTGCAAAACAGCTCAACAGTGAATAGCATAAGTGCTGTGTATCACTGTACTGGAAACTTTATCATCAGGTCACGGTTAACTAAAACCAAAAATGGAAAAGAAATGTTGAGGGACAAGAGAATGGGAATAGCAGAAGCAACTGTCTGTAAATGAATAATTGGATGGAATGAAACAGTATTTATTTTTATAAATAATCCTTTCTAAAGTACTTAGGAATTGATAAAACATAGCATCACTTGCTCATCACCATTTTTGTGC